CATGTCTCTTGGAGACTTGGCAAATGGAAGTCAAAACAGAAACCTAAATCTGATGGGCTAGATGCTTCTGTATTTTCTATTCTGTTGACTGTTTGCTGTCTTTCTCAACTCACTTCTTTATTTACAAATAGCTGGAAATGAGAACAGCATTAGAGGTTTGCTTGATGTTATGTCTTCAGTGTCTGATTTTAATTCTTAAAGCCTTGAGCCATGGAAGCCAAACTCCTTTATAACTGTAATTGGATCTTGTCTGGAAGTGGCAGCGTGGTTCTCATTCGGAGGCTTCTGTTTAGCTTTGTTTACCTTGTGCATGCCCCAGTTAAGCGCTGTGAGCCTGAGCTGCGTTTTATGCCAAGGCCACTTCACAGCACTCCGGCTGTGCAAAGCACATTGGTACCTCTGTTTCTGCTGGGGTGCTAGCTGTGCCAGAGTCAGGTATAGTAATAATTTGTGTAAATAAGAAATGAGCCCCAGATTTTGATTGCTGCTAATGACACATACTATAATAAAAATAGGACCTGACTTGTGAGGTTAGATAACAGGCGGTGACGTGCTTTGTGTATGTATTTTAAGAGGCAAGCTGCAAAGGAGCTCTCCCAAGTCCATCTGCTACAATGATTGATGTTGGATTTCCAGCACATAAATCTGGCACAGTTTATTTTTATGATACCCTGTGGCAGGGGATCATTTGTAAATTAACACTGCTGTAGTAATGGAAGAGATGTTGTGCTGGGCTGATGAAGTGTTAAGTCATGAAACTTGGAGTAATCCCAATGTAGAACTCTGCTGATTAGTATATTTCCATATTGCTTAAAAGCTGGTTATTGACTCACATTAACATGATACACGCCTTTGTGCATTACCTTCTTATGCCACACGTGCACTGTAGTCTCTGCTTCTGAGGGCTCTAAAAAGAGCACGTAACAGCAGTATGTGGGCACCTGTAGCAGCAAGGAGTTACGGTGCTGTAATGTCGGATGTTAAACCGTACCACGTTGCGCTTTCCATCCTTTCTGGTCTCATAAAAGCACCTCCCATGCTCCAAATAATGATGGGTGGCTTTTCTTTTCTTCTTTTGCAGAAGTCAGAGGGCCACACCTCTCCCACATGATGGACAGCCAAATGAAATGTCTCAGGCTCCAGTGCTTATTTCCTGCGCTGACCAGTGAAGCTCCACTTTATTGTAAAACATTGTGCTTTACCTAATATCCTAGCCTTGTCTTTACCAAGGGAAGCTAGTCAGTCCATATGATGGAAACTATAGACTGCAAGCAAGTGCTTATTGTTCTGAGTGGCCCAGAATTCACTGGAAGCCAGACGTTAGCAACTTGGGCCAGGTCTCAAATCGGAACCCAGTTATGTAGGAGGGTGATATTAATTGTCTATTAATGAACAGAAATGGAATGATCCTAGAGCTTGCTTTCTATTGAAGGCTTTTAAACAGTAAATAGGTGGTTGGTGTGAAAAAGGCTGCCTTTACTGTTAGCTCACACAGCATCTCTTTTACCAACCAGAGAGTACGGCAACTAGTTTCGTACAATACCTAGTTATTCTAAATTAAACAAAAAAAAAACAAAAACAACAAAAAAAAAACAACAACAAAAACACTGACGCACTGCACTAGTTATTATTAGATATTCTTAGTCATTTTTGTACATGAAGATTTAAGTTCTAAGATGGTTTATATTAATAGGTTATGCCTACATTTATATTGTAGAATGAATTTAAAACCTGTTCCAGAGAACTCACGGCAGCCTGGACAGATGTACCATTGTTAGCGGTGTTTGGGCAGCCATGTGGTCCAGATGTTCTGCACTTTTATATTTGCCACCGGAGTGGTAGAGTTTACTGGGAAAAATTCTGACAGGCGATGTTTGGGTTTGTTTCTTTTTACTTTAGCTTTGAATAACCAGGATGATGTGCATTAGAAAAAGGAGTGGTGTATGGAAAAGAAAATACTGCAGATAATTGACTTGTCTTTCATGCCTTGGAGGGTTCCTTTATTTTTGCATAGACTTGGTAAAACTTTCCTGTAAACAAAAAGTACTGCAAATGCGTTTTTCAAAAGTGACCTTAGTATTATTTCACCGTTTGGAAAAACCTAAAGCCGTGACTTTTGGATATACATGTACACCAGTACACATACCTTTTACATTTTACAGACACTGGCATTGTTGTAGTTACTATGCACAGCCCAAAACAGCTTCAGAGTTTGCATAAAGGGCCAATTACAGTTTGTGTGGGTAAAGTGGCGAGTTGTATACAGATAAACTACAACTGAAGAGTCGCGTTTGACTGAATTCAGACAACCAAACAGATCCATCTGCCAGTTTCTGTCTTTGCTTATGTTGAATTTTTGTGTTTTGCTCTCATAAATACATCCCAAAAGCAGGCCAAGTGTATCACTTGGCCTGTTACCTTCGCTATCTTGACTTACACTATTGTATAACCAAGCATTGATTCCTACCAATAGATGCAAAATGATCACTAGTAATTGATGTAAAGCTACAAATTCAACAGGGTACTTCTTCAATAGCACAAGATGTTTCCCTACTTTTTGCATTGTAGCACAACAATGTACCAAATTGGACTCCAGCAATAATTTTCTATTAGTCTTCGTCATACCGGCTGAACTTTTGATAGTATTAGATTGAGTTTGAAGTTCTTTGAACTAAGTCTTTAAAATGATGCGAGTTTACATCATTCTATCAGGCATTCTTATTTATACTTGACTGAATTGATAATGTGTTTTGGGGTTATTTTGTAACTAATTTGATGTAATAGCCATATGGACAGTAACTCTATTAATGCTTGCTAGGTTTAGCCTTTCATTGTAGTAGTTAAGTGAAAGTCTTTGGTTCAGTGTCAGGAAACATACAACACACCACACGAGTTGTAACAAAGGATTAAAGGTCTGACAAAAGGCAGGTAGCTGGGGAAGTGTCACTGAAACAGCACCATTGAGGATGCATGCGTTGGAAGAAGGGAACAACAACAAGACAACAGCAAAATTTATGAGCCAATGAGTCAGTGAAAAGGCTTTTTTAAAAATTCAGGTGAATACATGACTGAGAGCCCCTCAAATGCCATTGCAGCCTATGGCAGTATTTTTAATAAGATTTTATTAAAGTTTTATAAGTTATTTTAACAAAACAAGAAAAACTTCAGAGACTTAAAACTAATGGGTCACAGCTAGGTGGCTGTTGGAGTTTTGGACCACTTTATAATTAGCTGAAATCCAAATATGTTACAGTGCAGGCCGTTCACGTTGACAATGGTACTAACTTATTTCTCTAGAAACCTTTAGAGTAGATATATTTTTGTCAAAGCACCCCATCCTTCCTCGATTTAAATTTCAATATTGTTCCTGAAGATATTTCTGTATATTAATGGTACCTTTTTTAAAAGAAACAGAAAATTACTTTTTTCTATATGAATTAATATCTTACTTGATCTGCTTTTCCTTGACTTTCCCTTAGAGAGGGGGTAGGGTTGGGTCAGTTTACTGGATATGACTGTTTTCAGATACTTATAAACCTTTTTGTAGATATGCTTAATTTTTAAGCGATTAGGCACTGAGAGTAGCAGAAATCCTGCAAAGCTTTATAGTTCACTAGGCATTTGCCTTTGTTGGTTCTCTGAGTGATGTCTTGATTTGAGTAGCTAGAATTTTCCCTGAATCTACTAGAAGGGGTATCAGTATTTTCAGGTAACAAAGTCTGTTAGCACAACAAAAATTTCAGACCAATATCTTACTGTATTGGGGTTGGGTTTTTTTTTTCCTTGTTTGTTTTGTTTTAATTTTTATTAATTTCAGCTGCTTTCATTTTGGAAAATCTTACTGCTATTGTGTGTACTTCAGTATACCAGCAAACACTGTTACCCGTTAACACATTGTCCACAAATGCCTCTAGAGAAGAAATTGTTGCACCTTATGTATATCTCAAGCAAACCAAAATATGATGCTTTTCTGCTTTGTTTATTCTGAATATGTTGTATCATACTTTACTGAACCCATTTTAACTTAGCTAAAGCTATCGATATTTATGCATTTCACATTATTTTCTGGATCTGAACCTGTGTATAAATCTTTCTTTAAAAAAAAAAAAAAAAAAAGAAAAAGAAAAGAAAAGCATTTACCGTAGTCGTCCTCTGTGACTTATCCATGGGAGGGGGGAATCTTGTCTCAAGTGTAAAATGCAGTACTGTCCCAGTTTTCCTTGGCTTTTATTTATTTAGCGATCTTTGATATTTCATACGTAGTTTTGAGGTATACAAAATACATTGTCGTAGCCGAAGCTACAGATCTAAGCAGCTGGGAGAAAATTACTGTAATGTTGTCTTCATTGTTCTAGTACTGTATACAAATATGGGAAAAATGTTCTGCAGAACATTTGAGATGCAGATTCTTATCCCCACAGCAGGTTGTTTTCCAGATATTAGACCAAATCAATCAAAACTCAATGATCTTAAAGGTCTTCTCTGAACTAAATGATTCTATGATTCTAAAAACATCTATGGAGATTACTTAATGCTCTGCTTATGGCAGGAACTACCCCTTGAATGTGCTGTGATTTCAGAAATAGAATATATTTATTTAAGATGACTGAATGCTCTTTTATACTAATACAATATTCCAAAGTCATGAGCAAGAGACTTCTTGGTAGTTTGGGTTTCTGTTTTATAGCATTGGTGCATGACTTTTGAAATTAAAATGGTAAGTGCTGTTGGAGAGGGGCACAGGAACAAGGGACTGGTAGAAGCGTGTGAACTTGTGGTGTTTAAATTCCAGCTTTGGTATTTATTATTTGGGTGAAAGCTGCCTTTGTAGCACAAGGATAAAGAGCACTTTGCAGTTTGTATCAAGTAGAAACCCAAGAGAGTTGTAACTCACATCAGAATGAGTGGATGCCTTATAGTTTGGATGCTATTTTTTGGAACAGGATATTAAATTGAAGCAGTTTTAATTGCCACTGCCTGCTTAGCTACTATACAGATACAGAACAGACAGAAGGCAACAGCTGTAGACATGGGGCAGCTAAGAGAGGATGAAAGGAAAACTGGCCTTTGTTCTCAGTATGGCAAAGTAATGGCAATGAAGAGGAATTAGGGAAAAAAGATAGATGTATATATACATGTGTGTGTATGTGTGCATGTGTGTGTGCCTGGGTGTGTACATTCTGCAAGAAAACCCAAACTAGGAAAAAGAAAAAGATGATGGGTCTACAAGAGACTGTAATGGATGTTGACCCTTTGAGCGCACTCCCTTTTTTTGAATGCTGAGTCTAATATGGCTACCTCTCCTAAAAGACTACTTTTGTTAACTTCCTTTTGCTTTCAGACTTGATCGTGTAAACCTTTCAGCCATTGATATCATTTGTATATCGCTGTGTGCTTTACTTTCCCAGAGCAACATTTATATAGAGCAGACAATGTAAAGGCTGAATATACAGTGGTAGCCAAACTATGTTGCTGGAGCATTTTTGTTTAACCTCTGCCATGGTCGTATGGATTGCAGGACGTGGGCAGTGTAAGGTAGTTGGTTCAGTGAGATGAGGTTTTTGTAGCAGCAGAAAATGCAGGGCTTGTTGGAGGGGTGGACTTCAGATATTGCCAGAGGTGACACAGTAAGCCAAATGCTGCTCCTGAAACTTATTCTGGAGTTTACGTTTGCAATCCTGATTTCACAAGAAAACATAACTTGTGTGTTGTACACCATACGTTATCCATTAGATGCTGTTTGTTTGCCGTGCTTGTTTGGTAGATTGTAGAGCTCCTAGGTATCTTTGCCATGTTTTGTAATACTTGTGGCATTCTCCTTACCTTGTACATATTATGGAACTGTCACCTCCAGCTGCCAGGATGCTGAGGCGCTTCAGGACTCTGAGTGCCATGAACGAGTGCGTTTAGGCTGTGAAAGAGTTACTTGCCTTTTCCCCTGAATTCCCCAATAAAAAATAAATAATGAAAAAAAACCCTACAGTGAGGTTATGCTCTCACCTAAGTACTATTAGAGTCATTTATATACTCAGTATTTTCTACTGAACTGACAAGTTTGAAGAAGCTTATGAGATGGATGTATATTTTATGTTCCCCCGCTAATTCTCCTAAGGCAGAAATCTAGGAAGACTTGGCATGAGATCTCCACTCAACAACACACCTGACATTACCCTGAAAGCCATCCTTACTTAAGGGGTAGCATTGTTGTTCGCACTCTGACAATACAGGACCCCCGATTATGGACTGCAACACTCTTGGAGTTAAACTTGGGCTTGCGTGATGTTTCTGGGGGAGGTACATTACTGTGACCTAGGGACTTCATTGGCATGGAACTTCAAAAACAACTGCAAAGAGCTTAACATTCATTGAGTTCTTCCAAAGAATTATACTGTAGTTTCTGGATCTTGACTGTTGCCTTATACCAGCAGATCCACACTGTACTGGAAAACACCACACACCTGTACAGGCTAACTAACCAGGCTTCTGAATGCAGTGGTCTAGCCTACTTGTTTTACCCCTGCAACTAAACCTTATTTCCCACACACACTGCTACACTTTAATCAGTGGATGGGGCTTCGA